AATTCACCTTGTGCTTTGATATCGCAAACAAACACGAGGCAAGAAAACAGATTCAGACCGTTAAAAAGGTTCAAGACTTTGAGACTCATGTTCCCTCTGACGGAGGCCATGGGGAAAATGTACAAGTGGAATGCTAAACCTCCTTATTTCTTTTGGAGATTATGTCAGCTCCCACAGGACTTATGCTTTCAGAAACCAAAGGGACTTTCCAAAATAGAACAACTCCTCAGCAAAAAACAAAAAATAAAAATTAAGCAACCTTCTCCACATCACTAATCATTAGGGACATGCAAATCAAAACCACAATGAGATACTACCTCTCACCTGTCAGAATGGCCGTCATCAAAAAGACCACAAATAACAAATGCTGGAGAGGACGTGGAGAAAAAGGAACTCTCGTGCACTGTTGGTGCATGTAAATTGGTGCAGCCACTACGGAAAACAGTATGGACGTTCCTCAAAAAAATGAAAAACAGAACTACCATATCATCCAGGAATTCCACTCCTGGGTATAGATCTGAAGAAAACAAAAACACTAATTTGGAAAGATATATGCACCCCTATGTTCACTGCAGCATTATGTACAATAACCATGATGTGGAAGCAACCTAAGTTCCCATTAATAGATGAATAGATAAAGATATTGTTTATACACACATACACACACACACACACACACACACACACACACACACACAGAGAATGGAATATTACTCAGCCATAAAAAAGAATGAAATTTTGCCATCTGCAACAACATGGATGGACTTGGAGGATATTATGCTAAGTGAAATAAGTCAGACAGAGAAAGACAAATACTGTATGATATCACTTACATGTGGAATCTAGAAAACAAATTAACAAACAGAAACAGAGTCACAGATACAGAGAACAAATAGATGCTTGCCAGAAGGGGCCAGGGGGAGAGAAAATAAGTGAGGAAATTAACACGTACAAACTTCAAATTACAAAATAAGTGAGTCACAGGTATGAAATGTACAGTGTGGGGAATATAGTCAATAATTATGTAGCATCTTTGAATAGTGATAGATCATAACTAGACTTATCATGGTAATCATTTTGAAATATACAGAAATATCGAATAGCTATGTTGTATATCAGGAATCAACCTAGTGCTGTAGGTCAATTATACCTCACAAACAAACAAACTCTTAGAAAAAGAGATCAGATTTGTGGTTACCAGAGGCGGGGTGTAGAGGGAGGAGAAATTGGAGGAAGGTGGTCAAGAAGTACAAACTTCCAGTTAAAAGATGAGTAAGTACTACGGACCTAACGTGTAAAATGATTAATATCATGAACACTGCTGTGTGTTACATATGAAAGTTGTTAGGAGAGTAAAGCCTAAAAGTTCTCACATGCTTTTTTCTATTTCTTTGAGTTTGTAACTATATGAGACGATGGATGTTCACTACATTTATTGTGGTCATCACCTCATGACGTCTGTAAGTCAAATCATTATGCTGTACACCTTATACAGTCCTGTATGTCAACTATATCTCAGTAAACTGGAAGAGAAAAAAAGAAACAATCTTCATTCCATAGGCGGGCTGCCACCAAATTTTGCAAGAGTATTTAGCAGAAGCATTCCTCTTTTAGTCTTGCTCCATAAATACTGAAAACAAGGAAAAACACTGCCTAAGACTGAGATTTGGCAAAGGAATCTGATGAAACCCAACGGTTCTGTGCCATAGCATGACATCCCTGAAGGCTCCTGGTGATCGTGTGATTATCGAGCTTTCTGCTGTCCTATCTCAGGCTTCATGTGCAAAACATGATTTCCTGTAACTCATACACACTTGTCCACCAATGCAGCAGCATCTCAGGGCCAGAACAGACTATCCCGTTAAGAGTCCCACCCAGGCATGCTTTAGTCCCCCACCTACTAAAGCAAACCCACAGAAAGGAAAACAAGAGCCAGCTATTCTCTTTGCAAAAGAAGTGCCCAAGCGTTTGTGTTTCTGTGGGCTTTTTTCCCCATTAGCTACGTTTAACATATGGAAAAACTGAGACTTGGAGAGGTTAAGGAATTTCATCAGTTTAACACATTAAGAGGTGGAGCCAAGGGTTTTCGTTTTGGGTTTTTGGGTTTGTTTTTCCTTTACAATGGATTTAATATAAGAAAATGGGACTAATACGCAATTTGGCAAGTGCCCTTGGTTAGGCAGAGCGTGGGATGCCTGAACAAGAGGCAGGATAAAGGTGAGGTGCTTACAAAACAGCACGCCTGTGAAGAGCATGGGTCTAAAGTCAGAAGGTTCTGGGTCCTAGTCCCAGCTGAGTCACTAATGAGCTGTGGGATGAAGGTAAGTCATTTAACTTCTTTGGTTTTAGTTTCCTCACCCAGAGATGGAGACTCATTAATAAAAGCATGCATTACCTACTTCCCATAGTTACTGAAGAAATCAAATGAATGTGAAAGCTGTTGGAAAATATGAAGGCACACCCAGAGGTCAGGTAATTCCTGTACTACATATACATATATGTGTGAAAATTAACAGCCACACAAAAAATTACATGCATCCATTCTTGATCAAACTAAATGTGTTTCTTCTTACTAATAAAAGGATCAACTGGAATGCGAGACATTTTTGTGAATCAGGATGAACGCAGCTCTTGGAGAATGTGCACTGCTGTTCTGAAGACACGTGATCACAGCCAGGCATCTTTTGGTGCCCTAGGAGAGTCACACAGGCAAATGGACCCACTCCAGTTCTGCAGGGGGTCAAGCCCTAAGCCAATTACTTCAGGTTTACCAGACACTAACAAGGTGCTTGGAGCACCCAGAATACTGAACACATCGTGAACAGGCAAAAGGAACCACCAACCCACAGGACAACAGATGTGGCCAGGTGTGAGAAATGTGATGGGGACGTAAGTCACATTTAAAGTCACTCCCAGACGCTCCCTTCTACACCCTTCTGGGTTTCGGTAAGCTCTTCCTGCACTCTCACCTGAGGACAGCAGTCAAATACCTTCAACAAATCATCACCCCTCGAGGAAATCCAAACAAGAGACACCAGGACAAATCCCTCGCTGGACAAGCTAGCGCTCTTCCTCGGTGTGCCCCTGGCTGCCCCAGGTCTGCCCTGCAGATCGGAGCCCACTCTGAGGTCGGCTGTTTCTTGCTCACTCTCCCATTTTCTACCCTTTACATTCATCTGTTCTAGAATCTGAATAAATCCTTCAAACTCTGGCCAGAAAGAACATCATATGGTTGAATAACAGGATGACCAGAACAACCAAAGAAAATAGTACCTAGAAAGCTCTGCCTGGACTCACAGACCTTGTCAGAAAAGCCAGTGGAGGGGAAGGCACTTTACAGGGCAACCCACAGGGATAGCTGACTGCCGATAACACAGCACAATGGGGCTCAAACCTTAGTGCATATCAGAACCAGCCAGTGGGTGTGTGAAAACACAGAAACCCAGAATTTCTGAGTCAGTTGCTGATGCTGGTCCAGAGACCACGCTTGAAAACTCTGTCATAGTGGGCAAGGGCTACCCAGTCTATCATTCTTACTGGGGCAACTTCAGATCCTGATTCATCCTCCTCCACCCCCCAAACTAAGCCTTAAGAAAACTCATGATAGGAATTAAAACAGCTAGCCCTCCTCCTCCTCCTCCTCCTCCCTACTCCTTGCCCATACATACACTCATGCAGCCACGGATGGAGAAAACAATTGCCAAGCCATTCCCAACAAGTACCTCCTAGGCCGAGTCCCGTTCTCACCTGTGAACTAGATGATTTTGCAAAAGGAGTGAGTTATGCTGCAAAACAGAGGACATGGCGGTGCAGGAAGAGCACTCAGGGGTTCCCCAGGTCCCGTTCCCTGAGCTGGTGCAAGGTCCCTCAGTCCTCAGTGACGGAGCATGCCAGTGCGACGGTGCCAGGGAAACGTTGTGACCTGGTTTTCTCCTCACTCATTTATCCTGACGCTCTGCCACAATGCACTGTGATTTCCCGCTGAGAAGTCACTTCATGTCACTAACTGCCACCTCACGGGCCTCACCAACAGCTCAGTGCAAAAGAAAGCAGCGAGTGGCCCTTGGGGGGTGGCACGGCCAATTCCCTCCAGACCGGGATCAGAGGGTTTCTGCCCTGGAAGGGACCATTAGAAACATTTCTTTCCTTCCCAAAGTTGATTATGTTATATAATACACTATTGCACTAACAGCGGGAGTTACTGCTACAATAATATTGTTTTGTTTTAGGGAGGGTTAACGGAAGTTCCTACAGAAAGCAGTGTTGTGAATAATGTGAACACTCAGTGACAAGAGCCCATCCTACAACTCTCATCTTCTACGGTTCAAATGGGACAGTCTGGCCAATATTCACCACACTTCAGCTTGGACTTTTCTGACTCTGGGACAGGAGAGGTTACATACATTTGGGGCTGCAACTGTGGGCCTAAAAACCAACTTCAGGCTAAATAAGGAAAAGAACGAAGAGTGATTCGTTCACAGCATTTTGGTAGATATACATAGCACGTGTGTTTGCAAATACCTGGCCTTTAAGGTGATTTTCTGCACACAAATAGACATATTTGGTGGAACGAATGTGACTTTGCCTCCCAAGAAAAAAAAAATCCAAGTAGCTCTTTCATACATGCAAAACTGCAATAGTTCCCGGGCTCTGAGTGCCTGATCTGGGGTGAACCCCATGAAGTCTTGTAAGCCAAACTATATTCTCCAAAGCAGCAACACCAATACAATCTCCACTTACCCCCGAAATCAAGAACTGATCTCAGATATACCATGTTCAAGATACAGACCTCAAGCCCAGACAGCTCTGTTCAGAAAATTCCGGAGCAGAAGAGCTCAGCCACTCAGAACACTGCACGATACTGGCTGGGGCCTCAAGAACACTGATTTAAAAATCTTGCCCTCTCCCTACACACCCAAAATCCACTCATTTGCACGCACAAATGAGGCCACGCAAGAGCTGCCTTCACACCCAACACCACTGGTGGCTCTTGTGCTCACCTGTTTTCCAGGAGCGTCATGCACACCACCTCTCGCACCCCAGGGTTGTTGGCCTTCTCCACTGAACAGCCCTGCAAGTTCCAGGTGGCCAGCCTCAGCACGGGCCGCCCATCCCTTGTGCCTCCGAAGGCCTCCACCGAAGGCCGAGTGGAGATGATCTGTGTAGGCCCCCCTGGGGGCAGGTCCAGGTCCTCACTCTGCAAGCTCAGCGAGGTGGGGCTGGGGTGAGGCTTGGCAGTGAAGGTCAGGCCCCCGTTGGTGTGGGTGGACGGGGGCCTGGACCTCTCGGCAAACACCTGGTGCCGTATCCTGTCCAGGAAGGCGGCACTGACCCCACCCATCCTCACCAGGTCCTCGACGCTTCGGAAGGGCCCGTGCTCACGGCGGTAGTCCACGATGCTGACGGCCATCTTCTCCGTGAGGCCGCGCACGCTCATGAGCTGAGCCGGGGTGGCTGTGTTGATGTTGACGCGCGGGATGAGAGGCACGGCGGTGGCCAGGTGGTGAGGCTGCTGCTCCGCCAGCAGGTCCCGCCTCAGGGAGCTGGGAGAGTGCTGCGCCGAGCTGCCCTTGCTGCTCACGCAGATCTCAAACTTGACCTGCTCCAGCTTGGTGGCACCCACGCCACTGACCAGTGCCAGGTCCTCCACCTTCTTGAAGCCACCGATGTACTCGCGGTACTCCACGATGCTGCGTGCCACCGCACGTGTCACCCCAGGCAGGGTCATCAGCTCCTCCTCCGTGGCCGTGTTGATGTTGAGCCGCTCCTGATTCACCAGGATGTTGCTGAAGTTGCAGGCCGCGCTGAACTTGCGGCTATGGGACAGGTCCGAGGGGTCCCGGGGGATGGAGCGGTGGCAGCCCAGGGTGCTCCCCATGGCCGGCCAGGATCAAGGGGCCAGGAAGGCCTCACCTCCACAGAAGAACTCTCTGGCTAGGGAGGAAGCGCCGTAGAGCTCACAGGCACAGAAGGGAAGGTGCAGGATTCAGAGCACAGACAAACACTAAATAGCCATGCCCAGCGTGTCCAAACCACCTTTCACTTGGCCACCTGGAAAACAAATTAATAAACATACAAATCGATCGAGTCAGTTAATCAGTTTGCATTAGCACTCCCCACCTAGAGCTGGAGTTCCTAGCCAGGAGTCCAGGGCTGATGCCTGTCTGCGAACCTCTGAAAACACACATACAAGAGGGCTGGTCCATGAGGATTTCTGGTGAGGTCCAATTCTTATCACACTGGGGTCCAAAGATGCTATAAGCCACTTCTCTTGGAAAGGGACCTATCCCCATCAGCCTACACCTCTCGTCCCTGCCTCTCTCAACTCTCCCAGAACTGGGGCCATCTCCCCTGCTTCGGTAGCCCCCATCTGGCACTCAGTGCCACCAGCAACTCTGGAATTCTGTCCTCACTAGTGCGGGCACGGAGAAGGGGTTTATCGCCCCCTACCAGACCCGCCGCCGTTCCGGCGCCCCACCTCTCAGCCGCTCCTCCAGGGCTTCCTCCTTCCACCTGCGGCTCCGAGGCCTGAGCCCAGGCCAGGACAGCGCTGGCCCGCCGCCTTCAGAGCCAGGGCCCACGCGGGTGCGGGTCAGGGGCGGGCCGCGGGATCCCTCCCACGCCGCCTCGGGCCGCGCGTCCCAGCTCCTTCTGCTGGAGAAACTCTCAAGAGTCTCTCTCCCAGAACCGGCAAGAGCTGCAGGGCTTTGCGGAGGCGGCAGCGGCGGTGAAATCCGGCCGCTGCAGCTGCACCAAGTCTTGCGGCTGCACCAAGTCTTGCGGCTGCACCAGGACTCGCTGCGTTGCCGCAGTTGCGTTGATCCAGACAAAAAGTCCTGCCCCCGACTCGAACGCGGGATCCGCAAGAACCCCGTCCACACCCCAGCACCAGAGACGCTGCTCCCGTTCGCCGTCCGTGTCAAAACCAAAGTCCCGGCCGCAACGCCCGCGCCTCCGCTGGCACCACGGCCACGCCTCCTCCCGAGCGCCAACTCCTCCCCCGGACTCCGGGGCACGTGGGGGCGGGGCCCGAGCGCTAGGCCCGGACCTGGGAGCTCCAAACCCGAGAGCGCGGGGGCGGGACCAGGACGCGAGGTGGAGGAACGCGGGGCCCAGGAGTGTGAGAGGGTGGGCTATGCTGGGAGAGGGCTGGCCTGAGCGCGTGGGGGTGGTGTTAGCACGGGGAGTGCGGAGGCAGGGCCCTGCGGGGAGGGAGCGGCCCCGCGGCCGCGGAGGCTGGATTTAGAGACTGAAGAGGCGGCGCCGACGCCAGAGTAGCTGCGGCGGGTCAACGCGAGGCTGTGTTCGGGTCCTCTGCTCCTGAGGCCGGGTTGCTACCGGGGACCGAGGGCTGGTTGTGCGGGATGGAGGCTTTTTAGCCTCGCCCGGGGCGAGACCTGCCCGACTGCTTTTCGGTGGGCTGCACCCAGGGGTGCGGCGGAAGCTACCGGGCCGCCAGCCCGAGTTCAGTCCGTCTTTGGGGCGTGGGGACAGGGCGAGGGCACTCCCAGTGGGGGAGGAACCCCTGCGGGTCAGGGGCCTCGCCTCAGTTCTGTCTGAGGACGTTCGAGAGAGGACTGAATGGGATCTTTTTAACTTCTGACCCCCAGTTTCGGCGTCCTCTTTTCTTCCTGTGGAGTATTACCTTTGCCTTGCTTACTAGGAGATGTCCTCAAACAGCCCTAGCAACTCTGTGCTACTAGGAAACGGCGCGCACCACGGATTAGAGATGTGTTCACATAGGTCACATAGCGTTGCTCGTCTGCACGTTTAGCGCACTGAGTAAATATGGATATTTTCTATAAGTATTAAATCTAGTTATTAAGGAGGAAGAACGTGCTCGTTGGAAATGGAGGCTGCTTACCAAAATTCAGAAGAGTTTTTGGATCATACCACTAAATGGTAATTTAGTTAAAGATTAAAGAGCCTGCAGCATTACAGTGGATACATGGAGCTAGAGTACTCGATTAAACAAACCGTGTGGTGATACCGTTGAATACTTTGATCCTGGGTATTCAGTGACCTCTGAAGTTTCATCCCCAACCAATGTGACCGGTGCTTCTGCTTTAAATGTCCCAGGCTAGGTCAACAAAAACCAATTCTCAGGGAACGCAGAGGCACTTCAGATGTGAAATGAGAGCCAGCCAAGGCTTGGCAAAATGCTGTCGCCATGCTGACTGTGTATACTGACTGGTCAGGACTCTTAATGGCAAGTGACAGAAATCCAAGTCAAACTAGCTTAGACATAAAAGCTAAGGGATTTCCAGGTTCTTGTGTAGAAAAAGTTAAGGAATAGATCTTACCTGTGTCACACATGACTGCATCCAGCTCAAATGATGTCATCAGGACCTGGTCTGACCCCCTCTACCTCCTCTACTTGCTCCCCAACCCTAGCGCTAGGCTACATTATGCCACTCCTTTCCTCCGGTAATCCTGTTGTGATAAGGGGGAAAAAGTTGTTTAACAGAAAAATATCTTTAGAGGAGGAAGAAATCTTTGTTGATCAGAATGCCTTAATGGGCCTTTGTGGCTATGGATGGACAGCCTGGGGGCATTGCTAGTTGGGCTGGAACATATTTCATTATTTAATCCAGAACACTTTGGAGGATAAGATGGGAACTATTAACTTCACTGGCAAAACAGGCATCATCTGGTTTTGTTTCCTAGAAACATAAGCATATGTTCCCCCTTTTAGAAATGAAGCCAAAAGCTGAACTGCTGTGCATTAAAACAAAAACCACAACAGGATGGCTAAATTTAAAATGACTGACCATACCAAATGCTGGTGAGGCTGTGGAGCGACTGACACTCTCACACTTTGCTGGTGGGAGTGTGAGAAGATACAATGATTTTGGAAATCAGTTTGGCAGTTTCTTAAAAAGCTCAACATACATCTAGCACACAAGCCAACAAGTCCACTCCTGGGTATTTACCAAAGTGAAATGAAAGCATAAAACCCAAAGTCTTGTACACGAATTTTAATAGGAAATTTGGTATGTAGCCAAAGCCCAGAAACAACCCAAATCCACCAGTAGAGAATGGATAAACAAGTTGTGGTATATCCATACAATGGAATACTACTCAGCAATAAAGACAAACTGAATCCACCTGCCAATGCAGGGGACACGGGTTCGAGCCCTGGTCCCGGAAGATCCCACATGCCTCAGAGCAACTAAGCCCGCGAGCCACAACTACTGAGCCCATGTGCCACAACTACTGAAGCCCGTGTGCCTAGAGCCCGTGCTCTGCAACAAGAGAAGCCAGCACAATGAGAAGCCCGTGCACCTCAACCAAGAGTAGCCCCCGCTCGCCGCAACTAGAGAAAACGCACGCACAGCAACAAAGACCCAACGCAGCCAAAAAAAAAAAAAAAAAAAAAAAGACATTGTTTTAAAAAGAAAGCTCATAGTCTATTGACTGATAAATTGTTTCATTTCTTGGCTGACAGTTGAAGGCTTTTGTCATTTCCCCCGACATCTGGCATTTTATTTCTTATGGAGCATTTGGCTGGAGATTATTCTCGCAAAGTCCCAACAGAACGAGGTGGCTTCATTTACAGTACCAAAATGGAGAACACTCACCATCAGAGGTACTATGTTTCTTCTGATGGTAATGCTCAGAGTTGTTATTATTACAGAAAATAATATTCATTCATTTTTAAAGGCGATATGTTTATCACTTAGGAACTCTAGCTCCCATTTGTTTTATTCATTTCCTCTTAAAAGCAACATCTGTAGTTAGTTTCAGACTTCTGCTTTTTCACAGAACAGTTTATTCTTTATTGTTTATTAAATTGGAGGGTTTCTGGAACATTCTTCTTGGTAGAGCCTAGTACTTTGATTTCTGGGTGCCTAATTAGGAGGCTTCGCTTAGCACAGGATGCTCCAGAGGCAGAAGAGGGAATCAGGCAAGCCCTTGGACCCTGAACTTCTGGGAGCGGGGAAGGAGGCTCCTTCAGCCAGCCCCTGGGCCAGAGGCGGAAGTGCCGCTGGCTGGAGCTGGGGGGCTCTCATCCATACAGAAGCAGCAGGTGGACGTCCCCTGCTCTGACTCCCACTTCAGGCTCAGCCTGGCAGCATCGTCCCCATCGTCCACACCCTGCCAAGTTCAACCTCATGACGCAATTTTCCGGTTCTCGCCTTCTCTCCCCTTTCACTGTTGCCACTGATGTTCTTTCTTAGCCACATTTCTCCTAAGTATTGGAAAAGTAAGCCCTCATCATCTCTTCCCTGATCTCATAGCCCTACTTCCAGGAATGACTCCCTTAAGAAATGACCTTGAAGGACTTAAAGAGCATCTCCCAAAATGTAATCCAATGGTGGCATTGAGGAATAGACATTTAGGAGGCCGCAGACACAGAACTAACTACGATTGAACTGCCTAATGGGGAATCTTTCCCTTTTCATTACTCTGACCATCACTTTGTGTCAAGGGGAGATTCTCAGTTCAGGGCCACTGTGACCATAACACGTTCTCAGATTTGTTGATCTCCTTCCATGGAGAAAAAGGTGATCTCGGGCTCAGAATCTTGATAGGCACCAGTATTAAGCTAAAATGTAATTATATTCTTTTCCATTTGGGGGTTTATGTTTTCTGGGTATCTTCTATTTATGGCCAAATATACAGCTGTTCCATATACAGTCATACATCCCCAGGCCCAGATGGTGCTCAGATATGGCAATAATCCCTGAATGTATTCAAGAAAGGCTGCAGTATAAAGACCATGTTTTACAGGCAGTGGTTCTTAACCGTGGCAGCATATGGGAACCCCAAGGGCACTTGCTGAAATCCCAATGCCCAGGCCCCTCTCCCTGAGATCAATCCCATTAGAAACTCGGGGGGTGGGACCTAAACAGTGTATGTGTTAAACCTCCAGAT